CTCGCCCTATCCTTAGAATCCTATCAGCCAGCCTGTCTACTTTTGTAGAAGCAACTATTATTTCCAACGAAGTGTCAATCGTAATGGCAGTCGCTGCGACCTTGAGGTCTAGCGGCGATGGCCTTTGTGCCTGATGAGGCAAGGCATCTGCATTCGGCGCTTCTTGCCTGCGCTATGGGCAACCATGTACGAGTCCTCTGAGAGACCTGACTGCGAGTGGGCAAGTTGGACAGTTGGGTCCTGAAAGTTCTCCATCCAGCGCAACGCCTGATGATCAGTGTCCATTTTAAACTGTTTGCCGGTCAGATAATGGTGGAACTTCTTAGCAAACATCAATACGGACAAGAGCTCCTACCGTCTAGTGAAATAATGGCATTCAGGCTTAGAGAGACTGGCTGGAAAAAATCAGACGGCGTTCAAGTGCGTCCGCCTGCTACTGGAAAAGGACTGCCCTAGTGGCTACAACAGAAGCATCTGTGTCTAAGATAAAGGGAAGGGCTGAGTCTGAAGGTCAGGGAGGACTAACAGTGAAGGAGAAGTAGGAAGAAGTTTCAGTTCCTCAAAGGATTGAGTGCATTCATCAGGCCACTTAACAACATTTTCTTTGTCAGTCAGTCAGTATATTTAAGGGTAAAATAGGCTTACGCCTTTGGACTCCCTATTTGTCACATCAAAATCTCACGATTAAGATTGCTCATAAGCCGATTTAGTGGAGGACTAGAGGTCGAAGGCAACAGAAGTAGACGGGAGAGCTCTAACAGGGGAGATGCCATCTGGAGGTCAGATGCCTTCTAGCATCAACCATGAATTTTAGGATCGCGCAAACGCGACGGAGAGATTTTTGCGGGCAGTCGACACCTGCGTCAAACTGCACGTCAACCGAGGAGGCCTTGGTAAGTGCTTCTGTTGACAGATGGCGACACACATATCGTGTACGGTCTTTCAAACAATTGGGGCCAGATAAACTTAAGCTTAAAGAAAGCAAACATTATTTCCCGGTTTAAGGAGAGGGGGCGTGTCGCTAGACGACTGCTTTGTCTCAACATAGACATTCAAGTTTGGCAAAGCTCCGTCACACCAATGCTGGCAGGCAATTGGACTGGATGAGATCCTCCATATTCGTCCACCATTTGCAGAACCACTGCTATTAGATTTGAGATGGGCGATGGGTCAAGCGCACAGTCTCGGTTAGAAATCTTTGTGGGGAACAGGAACTTTGTTGAGACGTGCGAGAAAAAGGTAGCGTAGCTCAAACGTGTAAGAAGAATGGCGGACGTCAGAAGAGAGGAACACAGGCAAAAACAGCTCACGCTCCGTCCGGACCGGAGGTACGGCCGTCCTCCAGTCAGGGATCACCGTCGACCCCTTTGTCCGGGATAAGATTCTCGGTTTTTACAAGGGCAGTAACTAGTTATATATTTGTTACATTATCATAAGGTAGGAAGTAGCATCTTCACATGCAGTGTCACAGGGACCACGAAGTCATTCCTGGGGGCGTGGATATATGACCATGATACACCCTTGCCGATTGCGGAGTTTGCCTTCCAGGTGACGATAACAGGAGAAGCCGCTGCGATCTACAACAATCCATTGCTGGTCGATATGAATGAGATAGATACATGCGTAAGGGATGAGTTTGACGCCGAAAATATTTTAATAAGGAAGCATCACTTAAACCTCAGGTATAGCATAATAATAACTTGTATTTCGACTGCGGTAAAAATACATATAGCGACTGATGTAAGAATTGGCATTGCTATAGCAATGTTGTTTCCTCTAAAGGATTTCAACGAGAGCCGCCATAACAACATCCAGGGGCAGACCATTTCAAGCTTTGAACACTCTTTTAGTAAAGAATAACTTTCGTGTGTTCAGCTTGGTTCCAGTTACACGTATTTTGAACGGATAACCTCCTAAGTTCATAGTTTTTGGTAACTCAGAGAGGCTGCAAGCTAGACGGTGACAGTCCTGACAAAGCATGATACAAAGTGTTTGCATCAGGTCACGCCGTTTCGGCTAATAACCCAGAAGAAATTTGTAATGATTAAATGAACGTTTTTCGTAGGGTAATGAGCCCTGTCCGGTCAAATTTTTATTGCGGACCTTTAAGGTATTGAGGTCCTTCGCGGTCCAGGGTCTCCAGGCTTTGATGGCGAACCCCGTTTTTGGCAGCACAAATGTTCCAAAGACCTTAGTGAAACAGTCTTTATCAAAGACAGAGGAAGCGCTTTTGACAAGATACAGGACGGACACCGCATACTTGGCTACTTTCGCACACTGCAGGGAGGGCTTATGCGACGCCGTGATCCACAATCCCAAATATGTTTGCGCTTTCACTTCTTGCAGTTGGATGCCCTTCAGGCAGTAAACCGTGAGATTCTGGGAGATAGGTGGGCCAAATCGTTGTATACAGCTACCTGTTCTCATTAAACGGCAAAAGTCACCCTTCGACCAATTTTGGAGTCGGTTTAGGTTTACCTACAAGTGCTCTTCATCAGCCAAATTTTCGATGACGCTGCAAATCTTAATATAATCGAAAATATAGCGAAAGCTCGATCAAGTTCACGGGAGAAATAATATAGTACAGTAGTATAGTATAGTATATAGCAACCGGCCAGACAGCGAACTCGATGGCTCAATGGTTAGGACGTTTGCCCCTGACCGGCGAGAAGCGAAATTGAAACTGCAGTGTGGCATAAATTTCAGCGGCTACACTACAGTTGGGCTACTCG